CACAATTGAAGATGCTCTTAGCTCTCAAACTTCTAGATAGAAAAATATAGATTGTATGAGGTGAGCCATTTGCCCCAATATGGCCCAGCATTTTCACTACACCAACCCACGGTACGAATCATACCAGCCGTGCCTATTTGAGCCGTGTATTGGGACATGCAGCCCAACTCACTTTACATATCTATTTGCAGTACAAAATCCTATGACACAAATCGATCAATAGCTTATGTGATGTTTCCAAGGAGTAAAGTCTCAAGGCTTTTGACATAATAAGAAAACAAATATCAACTTACATGACATACCATCATGTGTTATGTAATAATATAATCCAGCTGATTGAGAAATAATAAGACGTCACAGGTACAAAGAAACCAACAGCATAACCTCGGAGGCAGACCGAGGAATTGCAAAGTAACGTGCATAATAAGTCCATCCGAAAACATGTTCAATTTTATTTGTAAAATAGACTGTTCTCTACAATTTTGCGCTTTGGAATGAGTTCTGAAGATAGCAGTAACTTAAGGCGAAGTTACCAGTGAAAGATCTCATTGAACAGCCTTAGGGGCTTTATCCGGTAAAATATTATCTGGAAGAATGAGTTCTGGGGGAGTTTCACGAACGACACCAATCATTGAATCATACTCCTCGTCACGTCGAGCAAACTTCTTACGCAGCATCTTTTCAAGCTCAATCTCATCAAACGACTTGGCATTTTCAGCAGCATGGACTTTTGCAAGGTTGGTGTAGTTCAATGCTGACTGGGAAATGAATGCTATTTCTTCATCTGTAAGCTTCCTGAGGAACTTGGCCGGATTACCTCCCCACACCTGTGACGTGCAAATTCCAAACGCATAATGGTATATAGTACATGAAATTTAAGTGCAGTTCAACATATGGGTTCTCTTCTGATTTTTGGTGTCAGAATAGAAAGTGTACCTCGCCAAAAGGGACTCTTGTATTCTGTCTGACGAGTGCTCCCGCAGCAACCATGGCATGTTTCTCTACAACTACACCATCAAGCAGTGTGGCTCCCATACCAACAAAAGCCTCGTCCTCAATCGTGCAGCCATGTATGACAGCACTATGACCTGTGTGCAA